GGATAGGTTGCCGAGGGGTATGCCAAGGACATGGTGCTTGGTTGATTGGCGGGACGGGCAGTTGGCAGGGAATGGCTCATTACATGCACGGGGATCCATTGTGTTAGATTGGGTCCATTGCTGCGAAGGGTAAGGGGGGGTTAGCAAGTTGGGTGATTCCGGGACCGAGGTGAGCGGTCGCTGGATTGCCGAGAAGGGTGGGGGGCAGGAGTAGGACCCACATGGGTACCCTGGCGATGGAGTACAGTGACAGTGATTCTGATTCTGATATTCTGGAGACTGAGCGGTGGTTTCAAACCAAGTCCACGATGGAGGGGGTGGTGCTCGATGGTTGTTGACTTGGGTTGTAGTGGAGACAAATGAAACGGAAATGGGTGGAGACTGGGTGGTGGTTTCAAAGCAAGGTTACGCTCTAGCAGGTGCCGGATTACTTAGGAGAGCGTTGAGGAATGGAGTAGGTGCGATTGCCGGGGTGCCGATGGGTAGCGGCATGATGGGGGCTTTTAAATCGATTGCCGGTGGAGGAGGGGATAGGCTGCGCATTGCATGGCCATGAATTGATTGCATTGTGTGGGACCAATTGCCGTGGAGAATAGGAGGTTGCCGAGGTGTATCCCGGGACATGGCATGTTGGTGGATCGCCGGGACGGGGGGAGGGGGGCAGGTATATGCCCAGGGATCGATTGGTTAAGATGTGGCTCGATTGCCCTGAAGTGTAGGGATGTTCCTAATGTGGGGTTTTCCGGGACAAAGTTGACCTCTCGTGGCATTGCCGAGAAGTGCAAGGCACAGTAGGGCACACATGGGTACCTGGGGATGGTGTGGGGTTGCCTTGATTCTGATTCTGATATTCTGGAGACTGAGCGGTGGCTTCAAACTAAGATTACTATGGAGCGCATGTTGATTCCTTGAGTTGCAGTGGAGACAAATGAAACAGAAATAGATGAAGGGTAGGGGGCAGGGTGCCGCTGAGGAGTGCAACACCAGAGATAGATAGGTTGGGCGGCGGGCGTGATTGCTGTGTTTGATCTTGTTGCCAAGCGTGTTTAATGTCAGGACACGGGGTTGCGCTGGCCGAATGTCGGTTGGATTGCCAGATATGAACAAGGGATCCCCGGGGACGAAATGGGCCGATTGCCAAACATGATTGCCGAGCAGGGTATTTCGACGAGGACTCATTCATTGCATACATCCCCTGGGATGGAGTGGGGCATGGGTAAGGTTGGGCAGATTGCCGAGTTTGTTAGAAGGATTGCCGAGAGCGATTGCCGAGGAGATGTTTCGACAACAATTGCCGACCTTCAAGTTGACCGGCAGAGGACATGGGAAGGCAATGACCCGGAGATGCTACCATTGCCGAGTTGCCGCAGGAACAATTGCTGATATCATTGCCGAATTACAATGTGTCTTCAAATGGACGAGAGGGCCACGCACTGTTGCACATTGAATTGTCCAACAGGAATGGAGGGCCGTGGAACATGTTTACCATTGCCGGAAATTTTCGTCACCGGAAGCATCGTATAACAATGCATGTGAAAGATTACCTCACTCGGCCATGTAACTGAATGGTCAGAGCATCAATAGGTCGGGCGAGTTCGACTCTCGCCATGGCTAAATACGTGACAGAGATAAACTATTTTTAAGGTTCCCCGGAACCTTGTCACCATTGCCGGAAGACATCAATAACTGAGGGCCTCACAAGGCCATGTAACTCAATGGTCAGAGCATCAATGTCAGGTGAGTTCGACTCTCGTGATGGCTAATTCAAGACAAATTTTCAATTTTTGTGGTTCCAGGAACTGCACCATTGCCGAAAGAATTGCTCATCTTTTGCCGAAACCTTCTGTGAGAAGACTTGTAAAATCCTCAGAAGGCCATATAACTCAGTGGTCAGAATGTCATTATGTCAATGGCTGTGTTGCGAGTTCGACTCTCGCCATGGCTAATGCGTGATAGATTTTCAATTTTTGCGTTTCCCTTTCTCCCAACCAAGACATCAATGGGCACAAGTGGATTCCTGTCACTTCATAGCCATATCGCCGGAGGGATACAGCCCAGATGTGTTGTCAAGTTACTGCCTCTAAAGACTATTATTGGTAATGCAAGGTAGTACTCTCCTTACCAATTGCCGATGCAGAACGTGTGAGCATCGTGGACTTCAATTTCCATGCAATATGGACTGCTGTTTCGTGACAATGCATGGCTGCACTAATATTCAATTTCTGGTGACAGCGCAGGACACGATATAATGCCGGTAAACTACAATATAACTAAAGAACAATGTGTGAATTGCCGAACAAGGATTGCTGAAGGACGATTGCCGGGTGTTGGTTGCTGCAGCAACTGGCAAGCTACTTGGGGATTTCACGTTGCAGTCCATCCACCCACTCCCAGAGGTGTGCAAATGTGTTTGAGGCATGTGCCTCAGCTTCTAATTTTGCTATCTCAAGCATATAGAGTTCCCTCACTGCATCCATCCATTTTAGTCCTTTGTCCTTGGCGAGGGCGCTGATCTCGGAGTGGAGACAAATGATTTCTCTATCAGTGAAGAGCTTGGATGCCTTTTAGGTCATTTCCAGACAAAAATTTGAACAACGACTCATGGGATCAGGAGGAATTTGAACGGCACCTGAGGCAATGTCGTAGTACTCCGTGTGCTCGAACTCATTTTGCTGTCACAAAGTCAGTATTAGGGGATGAAGGCATCGTTGCCGGTCTCACCCCAACAGGAAATCTTCTCTTGTTGATCGTTGCAGCCTCGGCCTGGATCTGACTGGCATGTTGATCGATCCAGGGAACAAGGAACTTCAGAAAGAGAAATTGACCATCTGCAGTTTCCACAACAGTCATTCCCTCACGTCCAAAAACTTCAGTTGGATGGGACATAGTGGTTGTTGGAGGAAGGTCCGGCAATCCCCTTGATGGAAAAAGATGATCACATGTGGTTCAAGTTTATCAACAAGGGCGGAGTTTAGAAGTTTTCCTC